TCAGGATCCTGTGGAAAAACTGTTCAGAGCCTGTCAAGCCCTTACCCATCCCACCTCCTGCTTCTCCAGAGCCTGACCTGGTCCCTGGGCAACAGGAGGTTGAAGAAGCTCTCAAACAGGAAGAAGATGTAGAGGCCTCCAAGTACCGCCAGCAGGCGCCAGGTAGCCTGTGCACCAACGCCCACCTCCTCATGGGAGTGGTCTTCCCCACTGTGTGTGTGCAGTCCCAGCACCTGGGGAGAAAGGGACTACTGATTGGGGACTTCCAGGCCGCGAGGGTCTGGGGCTAGGAAAAGGCAGGAAGGGGGGCAAGGATCCCGTTGAGTGAGGGCTGACCTTGGGCGTCAGGTGCAGAAGGGCATCGCCGGTGAGTGCGCCCACAGCCAAGCTTAGGAAGGTCTGCATGATGTAGTGCGTGGCGGTGCTGCATTTGGTACAAGTCAGGAGCAGAAGGCCAAACACAGCGCAGAGGCAGATGATCAGTGTAGCCAGAGAGCCATACAGATACCCTGTGGGTGAAACTACACTGAAAGCCCCCAGCTTCCTCAAGAGTCACCCAAGTCCAGCCCAGGAATGAGCAGGTGCTCAACAGGCCTGTGGGCTGTCAGGTGGGGGCAGGTGTCTGTTTACACTGGCCCTCTTGCCCCCAAATCCAGTATCCTTCCCTCTTGTACTGGTTTCTCCTTCCTCAGAGGCCCCATGGAGACCAATGACATGAGGCCAGCACCCAGGGACTGGGCCAGCCAGGCACACCTTGGGGTAGGCACTCACTCTCCGTTTGGCTGAGCTGATCCCGAATTTGGACGGTGGAGTGGGAGCTGCAGGCCCCACTTAGCTGCTGCTGGACCAAGGCAGAGCTGAGCTGGACCCAGGCCTGAGGGCTCACCCCAGTGTCTTCAGACAGCCCATACACAGCCATCACATCTTTGGCACTCAGGCACATCTGGGGGCAGGGGGAGAAGAACAGGGGTCAGGTGTCTCGGCAGACCCGTGGAAACCCATCTTTCTCCGGAGCAGAAAGAGTGGCTCACCGAGTCCCATACGCTGGCACTGCTGTTGTGGGTAGCGAGGGGCTCAGAGTCTTGGTGGCTGGCTTCCCTGTCCAGATGACTGTGGTCATCATGGTCACTGTGATCCTCTCCACCCACCCCAAGGTGGTGCATCAAAGCCTCCAGTTCTGGCAGGAAGAACAGTCAGTGCATAGTCTGTGGGCACCAGCCTTGTCCCCTCCCCCAGGAGGAGAGGCTGAGAATCTCAGCCTAGGCCTCACCAGCCAGCGTGATATTGGGAGCCTCGCTGTTGTGCTGCCGGAACACAAAGTCCACAAAGTACTGAGGGCTAGGCAGGCCTTGGAAGCAGGACCCATTAGTGACATGGTCCAGCAAAGCAGTCAGGACCAGGCCGGGGCTTCTGGAAGCTCCTGCTTCCTCAGCCTCCTTCAGCAGTTGGGGAACATCTACACAGGGCTGGAGAAGAGAGTGGCCTCAGCTCTACCCTCAGGGTCAACTTCCGGATCCATCCTAGCACAGGCCCCTGGACGAGTCTCCCATCAATCCCAGGCTCTTCGGATTATTTCTCAGACATCAACCGGCCACAGCCCCTCCTTATACCACCGCCTAGCCCTGTCCCAGCTAGTTTCAGCCTTCACTCTGGCCTTTGACCTCCTCTTTCCAGAGCTTTCCTGACCACCACTTCCCCAAAGGGTTCCCCTGACTCCTGACGTCCCTGTTCCACTCAGCAGCGAACACCCAATTCTCATGCCCAATACACTCCAGCTTCCCAAGTAGTAAGTCAGACGCCAAGGGCTTCACATGGGCCATTTCCCCTGCAGGAGCAGCCTCCCTTCCATGACACTGTGGGTCCTCCTCATTACCCCCAGCAAACCCCTAAGCCCTCACCTCCTCCCTGGTGGGTTGGTTGGAAGCAGGGGCCTCAATCTTCTGCAGTAGCTGGCTCAGACCCAAGGTCATGGCCTCTGGACTCTCCAGTAGGGTCAGGTAATGGTCCACGTGGGAGCCCAAGAGGCCATCTTGGATGTCTTTACAGGTTTCCTCTGGGTTGTTAAGGTAGAGGGCAGCAGCAGCACTAAGGCGGCTAATGTATCTGGCCTCCAGGACCGGTTCTGGGGCAAGCCCTGGCTTGTCAGGTTTGCCTAGGGTCAAGACCTCCTCGGCAGACAGGCACTATGGGCAGACAGGTAAACAGGATCTGTGTTGAATTGGGTCCACCAGGCACAGAAGGGGAATAGATTCTCTCAGCTATCTTATGTCCTATTCTGCCCCTTGTATGGTTAGCCTACACAGAGGGGTCCCCAGCAGTTACTCCCCCTCCTGAAGAGGTGAGGGTGGATGGTCCTGAAGTCACCGCGGGAAATTGTGTGATCCAAGAGGGAGGCCTGTATAAGCCCCCAGTTGAGGAGAGGAGGCTCAGCTCCAGCCTGCAAGTAGGTTCAGACACCAGCCTCCAGACCCGCCTCCTGGAGTTTGCCCAGGTCCCTTTGCTGCCTGCCACAGGGTGGAGCGGGCAGGAAGGGGCCGGTGCTGGGGGACCCGTCGGGTGGGGCTGTTACCTTTCCACACGGCCCGTCGGTGCAGTGCACACGGACCGCCAGCGTATTTAACAGGCGGTCCAGTTGCTCCCGATCCAGAGCGCCCTGACCGGAGATGAGCAATCTTAGCAGGTTATCGTGCTGGACCGCTGGTGCCATGACCAGCAGCATGGCTAACAGGAGCCCCTGTGTGAGCCGGGCTGGGAACACCATGCCTCAGGCCCCCAAAGTGCTCCTTGCTGTGGTGCTGTGTGAAGACCGCTGTCGTCTGGGCTGGTTGTAGACGGCTGGGGCTGCCTGAGACCAGACTGGGGCTGGGCTCAACTTGCCCTAGCACCAGGACCTCTCCCAGGTATTTCCTGCACGGCCCTGTGATTGGCTGTCGGGTTAACCATTCCTGTGACAGATCCTCCCCGAAAGCCATGGGGGCAAGGAGCTGCTGCCTCCTGGGGCTGAAGCAAAGCTGGGGTCCTTTCCCTGGGTGGGTGGCCAGAGCATCCCCTCTCCTGCCTGTCACACCCAGAACTGCCAGGCAGAGCCTTCTCTGCTCACTGAAGAGCCGAGGTCACTCCCTACTTGCCTTGCCTATAGAGGTCAAACTAGGAGACCAGGGGCAGAGCTGCAGACAGGTTACCAAGTCAAACACGGGTGTTCTATTTAACATTTTCAGGAGAGCCCTTAGGCCTACCTCCACCCTTCCTCAGCTGCCTCTCAGCTCAAGCAGCTTAGACAAATCCCAAATCTCGCAGTCTGAGTGGGGGTGGGGGTGGTGTTCTTGGATTCTGGGCTATGGCCTCAGGGCCCAGCAAGGGGCTGTAATGGGAGATGTCTGAAAGGCGAAAGGGCTTGCTGAGTCACATTCCCCACCTTCCCCACCTCCAGCCCTTAGGGGGAAAATCCCCAGGAAATGGCTAAAGCCCCCACCCAGACAAACAGGAAGAGAAGATGTGACCTTGGTCCTAGCCAACGCCTGGCCAGTCTGGGGTCAGGAGGAGGTTGAGACCCTGTCGTGAGCTCTAGGCCTAAGCACAGGAAGATTGGGGTAGGACTGGGGTTCCCAGCTCTGACCCTTCCTGATCGATCCCTCTAGCCTTTGACCCCAGAGCCTTATCTCTATCCTCAGGTAGCAGGCTGGAGGAGGGGTTAGGTCTCCAGGGAGCTGACAATCCCTTGGTCACAAGGCATTCTGGCCTTCTGGAAGGGGACTGTGGGAAGCCCTCTTCCACCTAGGTTCATACCACTCCGGACCCTAGCTCTCTGGGGTGTGGTTGGGGTGTGGAGCTCGTAGCCTAATGCCTAGAGGACTCTGTCCTCTAGTATTCTGGAGGATAGGGCAGGGTGGGGGAGAGGATCTAGCTGGGTATCCTGAGCTCAGGGGTCAATTGCTCCTAACACGCACATTCACGCCAATGATTCTTATGGCTAGGATCCTTACAATGTGGCTTCCAATTCTCATCCTACAGAGGAACTATGCTTGGGATCTGGGAGAGCCAGGGTAAAGACAATGAAGAGAACATTCCAACATGTAGCTCTGAAGATGTCATATAACCAAACCAGCTTTTCCCTTTCCACTGCTGGGGGCTGAGCCTGGGCTGGTCTCCTTCCCCTGCAGACTGGCTGCCAGCTGTTTAGGCACTGCCGGCCTCTAAGGAGAAATCTTCGTGTAGGCTTGGCAGTCCAGGCTTCCCTGGGTTTCTCCTTCAAAGGGGAGAATTGCCTGAATCCTGGAAGGCCAGTACAGCCAAGCCTCATGCACCGGTGTCATTGTTGTCCGCCCGTGTCCCTCCCCCTGCCACCGTGGCATGGCTGAGGCTTGCTTTCATTACATGGGGATCCTACCCGCCTGTAACAGCTCTCCTAACAACGTGGGAATCAGAAGTGGGAAAGCTAAGCCTCCTCACCATCACTAGTCACATGACTTTTAAGCTAGCTTTACCTGTGTGCATGTGTGTGTGTGTGTCAGCAACTTAAATTCAGCTGCTGTATGTATATATTCAGCTACAATTTAGAAAAATGCTTTAAACCACCATAGTGGTCTCTTAATCCTAATGAGCTCTGTTCGTTGTATTTTCTTCTAAATTAAGGAAGCAATAAGTCTCCAGTGTTTCAAATTGGTATGTACTTTCAAATGATAAATATGTGGTTAGATCTGTTACAACGTACTGTCTATGTGATTTAACTCTGCTTTAAAATATATTCTATATAATGATAAAAATTTAAGGCTATGAAGATCTACTTCAGATGAACAAGAACTAACCTACAACCTTTCCTGTCAGCTGTTCTTCACTATTGTCTGTTTTACTGTTAAGCTTCCATTGCAAAAACTTTTTTCTTCTTTGTCTTTCACAAGTAAAAATCTGGGGCTTGAGAGATGGCTCAGAGGTTGTGAGAACTGACTGCTGTTCCGGAGGTCCTGAGTTCAAGTCCCAGAAACCACATGATAATTCACACCCATCTATAATGAGAGCTGGTGCCCAGAACGCTATATATATAATAAATAAATTATAATAAATAAATAAATAAAAATTAAAAAAAAACAAACAAGTAAAAATCTGACCTGCTAAGTTAAAGCCAGTTACAGACAAGATGAGGACTCTGGGTGAAACATTCCTCCACAACCTCTCAGCTTGGACCCAGCTCTCCAGGAAGATCCCAGCTAGTCATAACTCATATATACCCAATAGACAGACCACAAATGCTTAGAGATCTGGGGAATAGGGCATTTAAATGTTTAATTAAAAAGGCTTTCTGTAACAGAGAGACAGGTTGGCTCCTGGCAGCAACCCCTGCTTCCTCCAAAGATGATGAACGAGCACAAAAGAACATCCATCTGTAACTTTCTTCAAGCAAAAGCGCTAACCATAGGGATACACTGCCTTTCATCTAAACTGCTGCAAATCTCTTCAGACCATGGACAACAGGACACTGAGGAATCCTACAAACTCCTAATCCACAGGATCTCCTGAAGCCTATCAGGCCCCATGCTGTCAGCCTTAAGATAGATGTTGCCCTAATGACCATGACGGACCCTGGGGTGACTGTCTAGGTAGCCAATCCAGTAAGTTCTCTGACATTTTTAAATCAATAACTCAGGTAAAATTTTATCCTGATGCCATTTGATGGCTGGGAGGTTTGCCAGTTTAAAAGGGACAGCCTCACAAAACAGACTTCAGCATAACGTCTGACCATGTTTAAATAGATGGTGTTTTAAGGGAGGCAAATGCACGTTATTAAGGTGTGTACATGCGAGTTATAAAGATCCGAGGATAAAAGGCTTACGTGCCGATAAAGGCAAGTGATGTGAGCCATTGAAAAGAATAAGACAAGTTCCAGAGTTCTCGCTTGCATTATGCTGCTGTTATTGTTGGACTCCAAGGGTCCAGAGTCTCAGCATTAATCAATAAGATTCCGAGAAGCCATTAATCTAGCTCTGGCAGAGTACTGCCACTGGCGTAACTGCAAGAATCAAGATTTTATTTTTTTTAACTTTTTTTTTCTTTTTAAAGATTTATTTATTAGTATACAGTGCTCTACCTGCAGGCCAGAAGAGGGCACCAGATCACATTACAGATGGTTGTGAGTCACCATGTGGTTGCTGGGAATTGATCAGAACCTCTGGAAGAGCAACCAATGCTCTTAACCTCTGTGTCATCTCTCCAGCCCAAGATTAAGATTGTAAATTCCTTTTGGTGGTGTCCTAACTATAGACTTAAAAAGATACTTTTTATTGTGCAAAACCATCTGCCACAGGGGCTAGAGAGATGGCTCAGATATTAAGAGCACTGGCTGCTCTTCCAGAGGTTCTGATCAATTCCCAGCAACCACATGGTGGCTCACAGTCATCTATAATAAGATCTGGTGCCCTATTCTGGCCTGGAGGCATACATTGTATATATAACAAAAAAATGTTTAAAAATATTTATTAAAAAACCCAAACAAACAAAACCATCTGTCACAGTCATTTCTGGCATAAATATACTGCCATTTAAATTTCAGTACAGTTTAGAAACAATAAAATGTATCTACAACTTATGTTTTCACAAACTCAATTCTTCCAAGTTCCAGGGAGCTGACTTGGAGGGTTAACCTTGAACAGGTCGGGTGAGTGCACCCCTCCCTCGGCCTAAGCCTCCCCACCTTCCTCTGGTCCTGACACTCTTCCCCCCCTCAGTCACCAGTACCTAAAGAAACATTTTTCCCTAATCTTAACCTTGTCCTTTGCTTTGCTAGTACCTCGCCAGGTCCAAGAAACACTGGACAGTTCCATAGAGCCTGGACAGCAGTGAAACAATCAGCTACCCCAGAATGTGGCCATCATCCCAGATGTCTCAGGTCCCACCCCTTCCCAAATCAGTAGGAAGCAGTTCTGAGAACTCAGTGCCCTCAATCCCTTAATCTGCCCTTCCTAACTCCTCACCTTTTTAATAAAAATAAGAAGGGAGGGATGTTAGGCTCCAGGCACACCGTGGCACCGTACCTGCATGACAGACAGTACTCTGTCCTTTTAAGAGACAAGCTCTGCCCACTCTCTTCTCTGCCCCCCCCTCCTCTCCACTCAATAAACTCCACACTCAAACTCTGTCTGTCTGGTGTATTCTGTCACCCGCCGTGGCCTTTACCTGCCGTATCATTTCCAGCAAGCTCACAGCCATTGCCACCATTGTTTGAGACGGTATATAAACCAATGTCTGGGTAGGTGAGATGACTCACTGGGTAACGGGACTTGCCCCCAGGTCTGATGAACTACTCTTAGGACTCACACGATTAAAGGGGCAACATAGCTCCTGGAGTTGTCCTCTCAGGCTCTATTGTAAGCCATAGCAGTTGCTCCCTCGGGCGAATAAAGAGGAAGTGAGGTCAGCACCTGGGAACTGGTGTGACTGCACCAAAGGTTCATCTGGGAGATGAAGCAGTAGCGATGACCACACTGAGTGTGACCTTTAATGCCACTGAACTGTGACCAAAATGACTACAGTGGCAACTTCTATATTTTATCACAGTAAAAATTACAATAGAGCAAAACAATTCTACTTTAATCAATTCCCTGTGACCATTGCAAGCCTTAATTCAGCAGCTACATATAATATAAGAAGAAGTGAAGTCCAGGCTTCACAGTACACTCCCCTAATCCCAGCACTGGGGAAGCAGAGGTAGGAAGATCTCTTTGGGTTGGAAGCCAGCCTGGTCTACACAAGTTCCAGGCCAGCCAGGGCTGCAAAGTGAGATCCTGTCTCAGAAACAATGAAAATAGCCCACCTTTAATCCCAGCACCAGGGAGGCAGAGGCAGGCAGATCTCTGAGTTCCAAGACAGCCAGGGCTACACTGAGAAACCCTGTTTTGGAGAAAGCAAAAGCCAAAAAAAAAAAAAAAGTGAAGTGGGTTGGAGCAGGTCTGATCTAGGCATGGTGGCACACACCTGTTAGTCCAGCACCAGGGAGGCAGAGTCAGAACTGTATTTGAGGCCAGTGTGGGCCACATAGTGAGGCCATTTCAAACAAAACAACAAGGAGGGGTTGGAGAAATGGCTCAGCAGTTGGGACTCTTCCTCCAGAGGACCCGGGTTCTGAGCACCGACATGGTAGCTTCTAACTGCCTCTCACTCTAGTTCCAGGGGATCCAAAGCCTTCTTTGGCCCCTATGGCATTAATCAAGCATGTGGTGCACAGACACACATGCAGGCAAAATACTTATATTCATAAGATTAAAAACTAAAAAAGCCCAAACACCCCAAAACCTAAGAGCTGTGAATGTAGCTTAGTGGTAAAGCATTTGCCTAGTGACATGCACAAGACTTTAGGTTTAATCCTTAGCACCAAAAATGGTATGTGTGGGGGTGGGGGTGGGGGTGGGGGTGGGGGTGGACAATCTGACTAGCTCCTGAGGACAAGTGGTTCAATTAAACCCTGCCATAACATTGGCATTGATGGCAAACACCAGCAATCTCAGCACTGAGGAGGTTGAGGCAGGAGGATTATCTTAAATTCAAGTACCTATGTCAAAGCAAAACTATGTCTCAAAAAAAACCAAAAGGCCAGGCGTTGTGATATACACTTTTAATTCTAGCACTCAGGAGACAGAGCAGAGGCAGGAGGATCTCTCTGTGAGTTGGAAGACAGTCTGGTCTATACAGGAAGTTCCTGGCCAGCCAGACTACATAGTGAGCTCTTGTCTCAGAAAACAACAGAAGTAGCTGGGGCGGTGGTGGCACACGTCTTTAATCCCAGCACTTGGGAGGCAGAGGAGGGTGGATCTTTTTGAGTCTGAGGCCAGCCTGGTCTACAAAGCAAGTTCCAGGTCAGCTAGGACTAGAACCCTGTCACAGAGAAACCCTGTCTCGAAAAACAAACAAAAACCCAAACCAACCAACAACAAAGAAGAACATCAATTAAAAAAAAAAAAAACAAACCCACACCCAAAAGCAATGGGGCTCCTTATTCTGACAACACAGATGCCGCCACAGTGGTCCTTGGAGGACTAAATGTCACATGGCAGGGTCATAGTGTCTTATTCAGCACAGTACTGTGGAGGAGGTGAATTACCTGTAGTCTGGACTGAATTTATGGAAACTCAGGTGCTGCTAGGAAGGGAATGATGGTGGGCAAGGAGGCAGCCACCCAGATTGCTAGATTCTAGCCACACCTGGTCCAGTGGCCAGTCTATGCACTCCCCATTCCAAGAGCTGCGAGGACTTACCTTGCCCCTATAATTGCCCAGCTAGCATCTCCCCATGAAGGCAGCTCTAAGTGTGGGATGAGCAAAAGGGCCAGGACACCTTGCTGGTTTAGGAGCAGAGGCTTCAGGGGCTCTGCACCCCAGGGCTTTGCTATAAGGTTGGGAGGTTAGACAGATCACACAGGGTGGGCTCAGCATAGCTGCCCATAGCAGGAAGGTCAGACAGATCTTTATTGGGAGTAACCCGCTGACAACATAGACATCTAAGACAGGCGTAGATACTGGGGAACTGGGGCAGTACATCTCCATCAGTCTCGTTCCGGCCTGGGTGAGGCTCAGGCATGTAGGAAGCGGTTAAAGGCATTGTAAGCTGACTCCAGATCGAAGAGCATCTGGCGAACCTGGGAGTCATCCAGCTCATCAGACGCCGACATTCCACTCAGGGTCTGCAGCCTAGGGACACAGGCACAAGTGTGTATGAGCAGTAGGGCTATGATGTCACCACGGGGCTCCACCTGCTCAGGAGAGCCACTTACCATTGGCTGACTGTTTGGCGACCCTCAAAGTCTGGAGGCAGGTGGCTCATTCGGTGCATGGTCTCCATTAGCTCCCGAAGGTCCGGCTGAATCTACAGATATGAGGGCCAGGCTGAGACCCTACCTACCTTACTCTGTTCCCCTCCATCCAGGCCCGGGTTCCCTGCCCAACTCCTGCACCTCATCCATGGCACGGATCTCCAGACGCAGCTTGTCCATGATTGTAATGAAGAGCTGGGAACACATTCAGTAGGGATCCCATTCAGTAGGGGTGCAGAGACCCTTTGCGGCCTACAGACTTGTCACCAGGGCCATGGTCCCATCCATCTTCCTCTCCACACTGTATATTAGTGGTTCCTTTCTGAGGACTACACGGAAGACCTGCCTAGGTTACCGACCTTCTGGGTCTACACACACTGGGGATCACAATTGTGAGAGTAGTGTGGGAATCTAGGGTACACTCCTACACAACCCCTTCAATCCATGTAGATCATGTGTATGTTTCCCTTCACAGTATGGAACTCAATATGGGGGACTCAGGCTCTATGGATGCTTCTCTCCTCAGTCACAGTTGTGGTGACCCCTCCCAGGCTACTGCTTAGCACCAGGAACTCCACGAATACACACTCATGACTGACCCAGGCTGGTAGTTCCTTCCCCCTAGTCCCCGCAGGGCCCTCCCAGGAGCTGTGGAACACACCGAAACTACATCTGCGATGCAGCGGTTGAGATTGCCCTTGTCGTCCTTGATAGTGATGGGTCGGTCCTCCTTGATCCTCTCCATGGCAAGTGGGCAGTCCAGCTAGGGGGCACGGACATGGTCTCAGGGCATCACCGGGCCTCCAGGAGGCCAGGGTATTATCCCTACATCCCACCACACCTTTCCTGCAGGATGGAGGGAAGGACTGGTTCACTCACTCTGAACTTCCGGCAAAATTCATCAATGGAGCTGATCTCTGAGCCTTGAACCTGTCGAAAGGCAGCTTTGTACTGGACCAGGAGCCTGGAGCATGCTGCAGTGTATCTAGGGAAGAGGACCAGTTGCTGCTGGGGGCTGAGAAGAGTCTAGCTTGGCTCATAATGCCCCCCCCCCACCTCAGCAAGTATAGATACAGCAGCTTTCACGGAAGGGCTGGGAGGGCCAAAGACTTCCTAATGGGTCTGTACACGAAGAGAGTTCTGGACAAGAGCAGGGAGGTGTGCCATAACTATCACAAGGAATCTGTGTGGGCTGACCAGGAACTCAGCGCAAGAGCCCAGATGTCTACTCTATTCACCCCAAACGGAGGTGTCAGACATCCCTTACCACCGGGCAGCTCCTGGTCCAGTCACGCTGGCTTGTCATCTCTGAACAAAGTGCCAGTACCCATGCTGGACAGTGATATCTTAGACTATGCTGTCCCCAGGCGGCAGCTCACCTCCCGAGGTCAGAACCACACTCACCCTTACAGAATGTCCCCGGCTGACAAGGCCCCGAAGCTGGTAGCCACCAGGACTACACCATAGCTTAGGCCCTAGACCTACATGTGTGCTGCCTATCGAACCCACAAGCATCACGGAAGGGAGAAACACGCTTCTGAGAATTGGTGGCCACCAACATGTGAAGCCACAGGCTTGCTCACTCATTAGGGGTGACGCAGTCTTTGATGTACGCTTTCTCCAGGGCCTGCATGGTCTTCACCACTGCAAACAGCTCCGCCATGTTGTCATACCTAAGACAAAGCCATCTGTCAGGGCACAGCTCCGAAGCCGGGAAGCCTTGGCATCTGGAACCCAGGGCAGCCAACTGCTGCTCTGTAGCTATGGCACAATACAGCCCACCCCTCACTCCATTCCTGGTAGATAATCCTCAGGAACTGTCTTCCTAGCCTGACCCCATTTCCTCCCCAACCACTGGTGTGGTGGTAGCTTTGGGAGGAGACCGCTGGGTCTGGCACGGACGCCAGATGGGCACATGCGTGTGCGCTGGGGGCAGCTCAGATATTTAACTTACTTCTCCCGCTCCCGAGCATTCTTGTACAGCTTTACTTCCTGTTGGGAAAGTGGGCAAGACAGTCAGCATCAGTAGGTGGTTATGGAGTCAGCGACCGTCACATGGTGTTTGCAGTGGCTGTGGCCAGTTAAATATCTACTACTTACCTCATACAGCTCCGGCTTGTTCCCAGGGGCTGCAACAGAGCAAGCAGGAGCTGACAGGTGATCACAAGATGACCCTGGGGCTGTCCCATCTCAGCTACTTCCCATGCTATGTACCAAAGAGCTCAGAGGGAACTAGAGAATAGGGGTTCTAGACTCACCTCCTACCAGTACTGCCTCTAAGAGCCTACAGACTGAATGCTGGGCTTAGCTCTCCACCCACAGCGAGGTGATCATACTTTGCCGATAGAACTATTACATGGTACAAATAAAAGTCTGCCACATGCTTCACAGCCTAGGGTTGGAAACCCAGGGATGCTCAGGATGCCAGAGGTTCTGGCCACATTGCAGCTCATTGTCTCTACCCAGCAGGGTATTGCTGGACCCTCAGAATCTACCATAAACAGGCTCTGGCACTCGCCACTCCCCAAGGCCTATGAATATGGGATGGAGGTGGTAATGTGGTCCCTTCCCCAACAGTCCCTGCAGTAGGGAAGCCTGGGCCCCTCCATTTTCTTCCAGCTTAGGTTATACTCACCTCCAACGCCAGGAGTAGCTGGGATTCCGTGAAACATCCTGCAGGCCCTGGCAGCTACAGCACAGAGACCTGGGAAGCAAAGCCAACACTAACTCAAGGGGTCCCCGACTCAAGAACAGGGCTCTGGGAGGGGGGGGGGTCAGAGCCTTGTGAATAGCGTTCCTGCTCTCTATAGGAACAACATAGGATGCTACGGGCTGTCATGGGATAGCCAGGAGAGTACTTCCTGGAAGCTTGGTTAAGGTAGGGAAGAGCACCTGATGGAAGAATCCGGCTAGCATCTTGAGCTTGGGGGAAGGGCCCACGGTTGCAACACCTTTCAATGGAAATTGGAAGAACTAGGTGTCTAGGGCTATAGAGAGTGTGAGTGGAGGAGGGCTTCACCCTAATTCTGTGGGAGCTACTGGAGGAATGAACCAAGGCAAGCTTGCTAGTTGATGCCATCTATAAAGGGTGGAAGCAGGGCCCAGGGAAGATCCTGTCTAATAAGGAAGTTGAGGTCAGTGGCTTAACCAGTTAAAACCCGCCTCAGGATTTGAAATGGGGCGAAAACAAAAGTTCAAAGAAGGTAGGCAAATTGAGATGGAGTGGCCCGATGAGGAGCCTGAGCTACTGAGGTCGCAGGAGCTAGGAACAGCCTGCGGAGTCCCCGGAGAAAGGTGAGCACCCTCACAGTCAGGGAAACCTGAGCTATGAGCCAGTAATGCCACCTGACAGCGCCCACCGACTACTGAGACACGGACCGCGCGGCAAGGGCCGCTGAGCCCAAAGGAGACGGGATCGGGTCTCTTAGCCCAAAGGGCTCCTGTGCTGCGGGACCCAGCCATAGCTGCCGCGTACCTGGGGCGTTTGGAATCCCGGAGATGGCGACAGCAGCTCGGGGCTCGCTTTTTCCGCCTGCGCCTGCCGGGAAGCCCAATCGACAGCTCGGCGCTCATTCTCCCAACTTAAGCCTGCGCACAGAGCAAGCCCAATCAGTGGGTCGGCGCTCGTCCTCTGTGCCTGAGCTTGCGCTCTGGGGCAAGCAGCGTCTGCTAAGGATTTAAGTTACATCGTCCACCCCTTTCCCAGACAGACACACGAATGGGACAGGAGCTTAGTTTATTAAGTTATTTTTTTTTCGGGGGGGGGGTGCAGAAACGACAGGGCCAGGATCAGAAGCATTTAAAGAAGAGCTTGGGACCTTGGTCCAGTGAGCAGGCGCCGGCCGGCAGTCTCCCAACTAGGGCGTCTCGGTCCTGTGTGCTCAGGTGTTTGCTGCACAACTGCAGCTCCTGCAGCTGCACGAAGATCTTGTCCCAGAGGTCGGAGCTCAGGGGCCCCTGGATGGAGCAGCCTGTGGGGGGCAGGGGGAGGTAGGTTTAACTTGCAGGCAGGCTTTTCCACCTCACACACAGGAGGCGTGGTGCTCATGCCGTACCTCAGAGTCTACATTTTGGCTTGCCTCAACGTAAAATGTACTCAACAAGGCTTTGAAATTTGTATATTGTGGACCCAAGGATCTCTGGAGGCTACTGAATGCCAGGACTCGATCATTAGGCCTGAGATATCATGGAGCTGTAGGAAATGGCACAGGTGTCAGAAATGCCAGTGTGCAGGAAGCAGGGAGTAAGGCACAGGAAGATACTCAGGTTTTATCAAATTTCAGCCGAGCAAGGCAGTGCCTGGCCAGTCCACCAGGTACAGCTCTAAGGTGGAGAACGCTTTTGTGGTAGTAAAGCCCATTTTCCAGCAGGGAGGGTATGAGTAACTCCCCCTACCAGGAAGGAGGAAGGAGAGTCCTTTAGTGGAGCTGGTAGCACCCTGGATTCCAGTCACCTTCCTGCCCACAAGAATGAGGAAATAACTTCCTGTATGCGACACTGGTTTGCTACTCTCCTGACCCAGAAAGCCCTGGATTATCATGCAAATCAAGAGGTTCTAATCTTCCTATTCACTTTCAGAACACCTGTGAAACACCTGTTCCAGAGTATGCATGCCTATCTGAAAAGTCACCAAGTATCCGGAAGGTAGCACCTTAAAAAAACAATGTGTAGGGGCTGGAGAGATGGGTCAGTGGTTAAAGAGCACTAGCTGCTCTTTAGAAGTCCTGAGTTCAATTCCCAGCAACCACATGGTTGTTGGCTCTCATCCATCTGTAACGAGATCTGGTGCCCTCTTCTGGCTTGCAGGCATATATGCAGACAGCACTGTATACATAATAAATAAACCTTAAAACAAAACAAACCAAAAAAGTAATGTGTGTGCCATTCCAGAGGTCTAATGGTGGAGTTGGGAGATGTTTGCCAGGCCAAACAGTGGCACTGAACACCTTGAATTTAAAGATTTGGTTGTAGATTTTCTAGTAACAAAGCAGCTAAGATGTATTGTTGAACTTAAAGAGTTCATGGTGGATTAATCCATTCCTGAGCTCCCTCTGCCTCAATGAAATGATTCTCACTGAAAAGCCAGGAGGTTGTGCAGAAGAAAACATAACACTCCCCCAAAAGACTAAAGAAACAAATTTATAACACAAGAGTAAATTCAGCATAAAATAAATGCAAATGGATAGTTCAATGGTTAAGAGTATGGACTGCTTTTACAGAGACTCTTGGTTGGGTTCCTTGACCCCAGGATTGTAAATCCAATTCCAGGGTTACCAGACACGCCTATGGTGCACATACATAAATACAGGCAAAACACCCATACAAACAAAAGAAAAATGAGCAAATCTTTTTGTTTTGCGACAGGGTCTTGGTGTGGCCCTAGCTGCCAGCTAGTCTAAATTAATGGTGTGTGCCAGGTTAATGGCACACACCACCATGTCTTGCACAAAGCAAGTAAATCTTTTTTTTTTTTTTTAAAGCTCTTAAAAATAAACGCAAATAGGGCTGGGGAGTCCACTCACAAGTTAAGAGAACCGGCTGCTCTTCCAGAGGTCTTGAGTTCAATTCCCAGCAACCACATAGTGGCTCAAAACCATCTATAATGAGATCTGGTGCTCTCTTCTGGAGTGCAGACATACATGTAGGCAAAACACTGTATATATAATAAATCTTTAAAAAATGCAAACAAAAGTTTTAAAAAGGAATGAAGAACTATACCCGTGGAAAATGTCCTTAATGTGTTTTTTTTTTTAAATAATTTAACTTTATTTTATGTGCATTGGTGTGAAGGCATCAGATTCCCAGGAACTGGAGTTACAGTTGTGAGCCACCATGTGGGTGCTGGGAATTGAACTCAGGTCCTCTGGAAGAACAGCCAGTGCTCTTAACCACCAAGCCACCTCTCCAGTCCCAGTCCTTAATGCTTTTTATTGTTTTGTTTAGGTTTTTGGTTTTTCGAGACAGGGTTTCTCTGTAGCTTTGGAGCCTGTCCTGGAACTAGCTCTTGTTTACCAGGCTGGAACTCACAAAGATCCACCTACCTCTGCCTCCCGAGTGCTGGAATTAAAGGCGTGTTCCACCACTGCCCAGCTAGCAAATCTCTCTGAGTTTGAGGCCAGTCTGGTCTACAGAGTGAGTTCCAGGACAGCCAAGGCTACACAGAGAAACTCTACCTCGAAAAAACAAAAAAGCCTCCTACAAAAAGACCAATAAATAAATAATAAATATTTGTTTGTGTGTGTGCTGGTGTTTTATCTGCATGCCCATCTATGTACCATGTGAAATTAGTCTGCCTGCAGAGGCCAGAAGGCAGCTTCATGTCCCCTGGAACTGGAGTTACAGAGGTTGTGAGCTGCCGTGTGTGCTGAGAACTGGGGTCCTCTGGAAGAGTAGCCCTTAACTGCTGACCATGTCCAGAGTTTCCTTTTATTTTATTTTATTTATTTATTTAGAGACGGGGCTTCACTATGTAGCTCAGGATATGTTTGAAGTAGTCTGCCTTAGTCTCCCTCATGCTAGGTTACAGGTATGAGCCATACCTGGTTCCTTCCTGCCATATTCTGAGTAACCAGAGACAGTCTCTCACCCCTGGCCCCGTTATACCATAAGCTGCCTTTCACCATGACAGCCTCCTAGAGCCTGGGTGGTAGCAGTGACTGCCCCTTCCTCTGGAAAGTAAGTCCTGTGTTAGGTGAGACATGGTAGGAGACCCTGTAGCTTCCAGCTCTTACCTGACAAGCCAAGGAAATTGAGGCCTTGGGGCCGCTCTTGGAGGGCAGACAAGAGCTCCTCCAGACTGGCACAGCTGACCTCAGGGTTGGCAGACAGGTCCAGAGAGACAAGTGAGGGACAGCAAGGGAGGCATCTGGAATAACATGGAAAGTGAAGGACTGAGTGTCCAGGGAAAGCCCTAGCTTTATTACTAGGGAAGGCTGACCCAGACAAACCCACAGCTCTGGGAGCCGGGGACCAAGCCTAGCAGAATCCAGAATCCTGGTCCAGCTTGGCACAGGCAGGACTTCTATAGCACTAGTCAGAGGCAAGACTACAATGCCAGCTTTGGACAACTCTTGACATTGCCCTGAAAGACAGCCAAGTCACTAGGAGCATGATGGGGAAGAAACACTTTACCAAGGAAAATAAAGGATAGACCAGAGAGAAAAGTTCTCGAATGACAGAGACTTGAGGATGGTAAGTATGCCTGCAGAGCTATCCCCGGAGACAGTGGAAATCAGAAAGAGGTGACACCCTGACCCATCTCTCACATCAGGTTCCTTCACAGGACTGTCGGTGGCTGAGGGAAGGTGTGTTACCTGCTCAGCTCTCTCACAGCCTTGTCACTCAGATAGTTCGCAGACAGGGTCAGGTGGGCCAGAGCACAGCCTTCCTAGACACAAGCACAGGGCAAAAGACCATGCCTAGTGGGCACCTAGCCACCTTCCTCCCAGCAGAGACCCACACCCGAGAAAGCTGTTTGGAGATGAAAAGTAAGCACCTCTCTTCCAGGCTACAGGTTATAAATGGCTTGTAAAGATCATAGGGGTGGGTTGGAGAGATGGTTCAGGGTGGTGGCGGTGCACACCTTTGATCCCAACACTTGGGGGGCAGAGGCAGGTGGATCTCCGTGAGCTGGAGGGCAGCCTGGGCTACAAAGCGAGTCCTAGGATATTTAGGATTGTTACACAGAGAAACCCTGTCTCAAAAAAATCAATCAAGCAAACAAACAAACAAACAAAACCACTGGCTGCTCTTCCAGAGGACCCGAGTTCAATTCCCAGTACCCACATGGCAGCTCATAACTGTCTGTCTATAACTCCAGTTCCAGGGGATCTGACACCTTCACACCAATGCACATAAAGTTAAAATAATTAAACAAAATCACAGGAGCCTGGTGTGTTCCTTGTAACTTGTCTCAAGTAACACCATTCTGCTCCCAGGAGCCCATGGGTATTTCCTTTCCTCAAATTCTGCACAGTACTGCATGGTTTCAGCTGTAGCACCTTGGGTTTTGGGCCTACAATGAACAGAACATAGTGGTCTGGCTTGGCAGTCCCCTCCACACCTCATACCTTGGTCAGGTATTTGATAACAGGCTCCATGAGGCTCAGGTTGCTCTTGCTGGCTGCCACAGAGCTAAGCTCCAATCGTAGGAGGGCATGGGCCGGTAGGTTCTGCAGCACCCTTGCCAGGGCAGGAGCACCGAGCGCATTGTAAGACAAGGACAAGGTCTTCAGGTGCTTAGCGTCTGTACAGGGCAAGAACTTTCGTCAATACATGAATATACCCACTGCCTTCTCCCTACCCTAGAGTTTCGACCCCAGAAGCCTTTAAAGAAACTGCTACCCAGCCGAGTGGTGGTGGCACACACCTTTAATCCCAACACTCGGGAGGCAGAGGCAGGCGGATCTCTGTGAGTTCAAAGCCAGCCTGGTGTACAAGAGCTAGTTCCAGGACAGGCTCCAAAGCTACATAGAGAAACCCTGTCTTGAAAAACAAACAAAGAAACTGCTACCCCTGAATTTTGTCCTGGAGATTGAGAGGCAAAGGTTTGTATCCAGTCTCCCAAGCTCAGTTTCCCCATTTCCATGGCTGGCTGCTGGGGAATGAGGCCCTGGGCCAGGACATCTGTGAATGGAGGTCAGGACAGTGCTCTGATTATGGCCACCTAATCCCAGGCTCATCTGTCTTCTGGGTTCCTCTGGATGAGTCCTGAGAACATCCAATATTGGTTCAGAACCAACGTCTGTTGGAGCCCCTGCTAAAACCACATGTATATCTGGGGTGCTCACAAGAACTGGTCCTTCCCTCAGAAGCTAGGTCCTTGTATCCTGGGGTCCCTCTGCTCAAGGTCCTAATTCTCTCAACACTGGGCTCAGGGAATACACTTTACTGGTCATCTTACCTTGGAAGGTACTACCCAGAGCAGCCTGATGGCTCTGGAAGAAGCTGGGGCTAAAGCCACAGGCTTGCAGGCGCAGGGTGGTGAGCATGGGGCAGGCCCGCAGAAGGGAGGCCAGGCCCTGGCCACAGCCATCTCCCAGTGGATTCATGCTTAAGTCCAGTTCCTCCAAGTTCTATAGAAGATATGGGGTGGGTACTGAGTTCCCTGATACTCACAAGCCCACCTCCCCATAAAGAGTCTGGTCTCTGCATGGGTCCCACCCAAGGGCCAAGCACTGCCCAGCTCTCCCAGCTCCACCACAGCACCTGTGAACGGCCTTGCTGGTGTTGGCCCACTGCACCCTGGGTCTTTACCTGTAGAGCAGTTTGTCCCGAGGAGCCTTCAACAAGCTGGCGTAGACCTTCCTGGCCCAAGTGATTGGAAGAGAGATCAAGGAGGACCAGGTTAGGCATGGTGCCCAGGGTCGCCAGCAGCTCAGCAGCACAGGCATCTCCTAGTCGGTTCCCAGCAAGGCGCAGCTCCCGGAGCGTCGTGTGCAACTTGAGGGCGCGCAGTAGGGGCGTGAGCTGGGCTTGGCACAAAGCCAGGGAACAGGCACTAAATGAAGGGCTTGAACCCTGCTGCTCCACGGCCTGCAGCACTTGCGGGTGCTCCCCTGAGAAGAGAGACAGATATAGGGTAGGCGGGGTCAGAGTTTGAACCTGCCCTGGAGCCTGGAGTCCTAGAGGCAAAGCAAGTGGCCCAGGTAATACTGAGGTAATACTGAGCCCATTCCTACAAGCCTAGGATTTAGTACCACACGAGCTTGCATATAAATCTGGAGGACTCTAATCTCTGTCAGCCACACTCACACCGTCCGCTCTTGGAAACAAGCTTCCTGGTGACCTCCAGCCCCTCTGGACTCCTCCCTGGCCTTTCCCTGTGTCTTAGGTGGCTTCAGAATTCTCATTCCAAGAGTCCATGATCTCAGAGCTGTCTGCTCCCACCTGTCACCCACACGTACACGTGTAACAGGCATAATGCTTGGAGGAGAGCTGGGTTTTTCCAGACATGGCTATGTGCAGGGTAGTGGGGACTACATACATGTCCAGCTCCTCTTGCCTAGGCAGGGCTACCTCACCTTGCCCCAGGCTCTGGCAGGCCCTGCGGTAGCGGTCAGTCAGCGGGGGAAGGTCCCATGAGGTCACTTCGGCCAGCACCTAGAATGTGTATCTGGTGAGCAGCCCTGTAGAGCCGAGTAAGAGGGGTAGCCTGTGCCTGTGGCCCTGGCCCCGCTGCCCACCTCATCATTACTCTGCAGCACATCGGGGATGGGGTCCTGCGGAGCCAACAGGGCTCCATCCTTCCGTAGGGTGAGCCTTGGAAGTAGCCCACAGGTTTGGTAGTAGCGCTGGGCAGCTTGCTCTGCTAGCCAGGCCACAGAGTGGACGTCACTGCTATAGAGAAGAACGACATGCTGAGCTCAGATGCCCCGGGTCCTACTGTGTGCTTAGCATCTCCAGCTCATTTGCCTGGCGCTCCCACCCCCTCCTCCAGATAACTAGCCTCTTATCTGTGTAGCCCAGGGACTACCTGCTCTTCCGGCCATTTCTAAGGCCCATAGAACCTTCTTATACTGTGCTAAGGGTCCCTGCTTGAGCTTGTGGAGGGCTCCCTGGGGCTCAAGGGACCAGGGTGTCCAAGTCAGGAGCCCTTCTCAACACCCATCCTGATATTCACATGAGGGTGCTGTGTAACCTACTGCTGACAGCCCAGGCAGAGCTGCGTGACCGACAGAGGAGTCTGGGAATAGGCGAGGGCACATGTATGCCTTACCTGTGTGGGACAGGGATGAGGAAAAGGTTATCCTGAATTTGAACTCGAATCCGGATGGGAGGAGGCTGGACCAGAAGCTAGCAGGCAAGGACACAGGGAGGGGACAGTCAGAAACCAGAGTTTTTTACCCCCACCTGTCTCAAGTTGGAAAGACGGTGCTATGCACCCACCAAAGGCTGGCCTGCTGTGCAATTTTCCCTGGTGGGTCCTGAGGTCCTAGGCACGCTGGGACTCTCTGGAGGCTCTGCAGCCGGGCTGCCATCTCCTGCTTTAGTCCGTGTGCCCCAATCGAGACATGTTAGGTGACTCTGCTTGGCACCAGCCCGGCGCCGGACAGAGCATCGCTCATAGTCTGACCCTGAGTTACTGGGCCTGCTCCAACGGCTCAGGGGTGTATCTAACTCCAGCCATTCCCCAGCCAGGAATTCCTCCTGGGGTATGAGCGCTGCCTTGGGGGCAGGAACCTCGTCTGAGCTCCGAGGCAGTCCAGGTACCATGCGGCGGCTCTGGGCACTGCCCACTCCTCGGATGGCTGCTCGGTAAGCAGAGCGGCAAGCAGTTGCTGTGGCTGTCTCTCTACTTTTGGACGACGGCTCAGGGGTCTGGGCTTTATCCTGCTGTGCTTTGGTGGGCGGTCTCGGTCTTTTCTGAGATGGCCTGCAGGGACCCACGCTGTCCTCGTCCTCTGAGCTGCTACTGCTGCTGGTTGGCCTGTGCCTGTTCTTCCGAGGTCTGGACACGGCAGACACAGTTTCCTCCAGAAAGACCTTAGCAGGGGCCGGAGAAACTTCTGGAGGTCTAGGGGTACACAGGGAAAGTTCTGGACAGGGGCTCGAGGGAGGAGAGGTCTCAGGATCAAAGAGATGGTTACTTGGGATGCTCTGGAGGGCAGAGGAGCCGTGGGGCACTGAGGGAGAGAGAAGAGATCATGAGAGAGGGGCCCCACCTCTAGGGCAAGAGTCGAGTAGATAGGGGAGGCCCTGCTTACCTTGGCCTGAGGAGGCCAATTGGAGCCTCCTCTCCATGGACACTGCCTTCTGCCTTGTCTCAAGGTCAAGGTCCCTGAAGTACAGCTTCACCCACTGCTGCAGCGTCTCCAGGGGGCTGAGGCCCTGTGTGCCACTCAGTTGAGCAAAGCAACAATAGACTCATTACAGTCCCTGCCTGCCCAGCTCACGCCCTGGCTCACCTTCTTGGTACGAAGAGTTACAGATGCCCCTCGCTCGATGAGCAGTTCGGCTACCTCAAAATGGCCGCAGTTGAGGGCATCATGCAGGGGGGTGATGCCATCACAACCCTGGCCGCCTGGGTCATCTACTGCTGCTCCGTGGTCCAGGAGGAAGCGGACGATCTCTGGGGGCAAGACCACATGGCCTCAGTTCCCAGAACCATTCTCTCTTGCCTCCTGACTCACACATCCACCATGTGCCCGGCCTGACCCCACTTACCAAGATGCCCATAGTTGCATGCTTCATGTAGAGGTGTCCAGCCACAGTAGTCTCGGGGATTCAGGGGGTGGCCCTAGGGACAAAGAAAGGATGGGTCCTGGCCCTGGGCTTCAAAGGTCTACTCCTTGGTGTAACTCTTTTCCTCTTTAGGTATGACAAAAGAAAAAGAGAAGGATGTGCCCTGGCCCTCCCAGTGCCTTGCTGACTATACTATCATAATAGATTCCTAGGCCATGTACTATCCTGCGCCTTGGTACAGATACTGCCTGACTACAGGGCTCAGAACAGGAGGGAGGATGCCAGAAATCTGCTGTCCCTTCCTGTCCTGATTTAGCCAGCGCATTCACCCACAGCAGGGACGCTACACATCTTGTCTCTTTTTGAAAACAAGCAATAAAGGAGATATTGCCTGGGCCCACAGCTCCCCGAGGAAGCCAGGACTCAATGATCTCTCGCTGGGGATTTTGGCCCACCTGCCTCACAAGATCCTGGACGCGGCGCAGTTGGCCTTCGATGCAGGCTCGGTGCAGCAGGGTCTCTCCCATGTCATTGCGCCGGTTCCACTGTAAGTGCAGTCGCCCCGACACGGGGCAGGATGTGAGGGGCAGGAACACAGCTCAGTGCAGTGGTGTTAGACAGCAGGGAGGGGGTAGGGCAGTTGTCCTCACCTTGTTTACCTTCCGCCGGCCCAGACAGCCCTGAAGCTCCTCATCTTCCTCCAGCCGCTGAGACAGAATGTCAGCATCATCCTCTGGAAGAGTAAGGCCACTGACCCTTAGCCTGTTGCCTGCTATCTCCCCTGAGCCCTAGGGCAGAGCAGCCAGAAGCAGGGAAGTAGAACGCTGGAGTCTGTGAGCTGTGTAGCCAGGTAAAGCAAAACAGACTCCCAGCCCAGCCTCACTCCACCAAAACCCCGCTTCTGTTATGGATTATTTGTTTGTTGATTTATGGTTTTTTGAGACAGGGTTACTCTGTGTAACCCTGGCTGTCCTGGAATTCAGAGACTCACTTACCTCTGCCTCCCAAGTGCTGGGATTAAAGGCATGAGTCACCACCACCACCGCCCACTCCTAGCTCACTACTCCACTACACAGCGGCCAAAGAACACGAGGCAGCCACTGGATCACAGCAGTGTTGACTGCCTCTGACCAGTCATTTCCCCAGAGAGCTTGACTATTAGGTCTCCCGTTCCATATACGCTGTCAGCCTCCTCCATTCGCTTCCATAGAAGCACTGGTTGCCCTTCCTAACTGTTCCACCCCTTTGAGTCCTCAGCAGGCTCCATGAAGACACGGCTCCAATACACACCAGTCCATCCCAGGCACATCTCAGAGCAGACCCAGGCAGAAGAGGCAAGTGCAGCCCACCCAGCACACAAGGCAGCATTCGGCCCTCACCGCTCTCCGAGAGCTCCAGCTCACTGGTCTCCAGGGCCTCACTGGCTTCTTCTTCCTCTTCCTCCTCCTCCTCCTCTTCCTCTGTGTCTTTTGCCACACTCAGTTTCTGCAGTTTAATTTCAGTGCTAGGAGCATCTTGGGGCTGCAACTTTAGTTGCACGGTATAAAGGTGCTGTAAAATCTGCCTCTGAGGAGCAGAGACGTCCATTCAGGAACAAACAGGAGCACAGAGAGCAATTAGTGCAAGGAAAGACAGGCTTGAGGCAGGAGGATTCTAAGTTCAAGGTCAGCTTGGGAAGCTTAGTGAGACTCTGCCTCAGAATGAAAATACAAAAAGGGCTGGGGATATATAGGCTACAAGTAAGGTCTTAAGTTCAAAAGCTAGGAGCTGGATTTATTTGGGGATTCAATGTTTATACCTGAAGGGGGAACCGCTGGGCCTGCTGGGCACAGCTCAAAGCCTTCTGGAAGCACGGTGCTAGCAGCTCATACGCATCACCCGCTTCCTCACGTGACAGCGCGATATTGAACCAAGTCTTAGCTTCCTGGAACAGAGAGAGAAGCGCAAAGTTGGTGGCTGCCTAGCGCATTCAGCTGGCCAGCCATAAGCTGGTCATATGACACTGGAAGATGTGCTTTGTCCCTGTCTTATCTCCAATTGACAGACTGTGACAGTCGTCGGAAGGAACAACCTTTTCAGGGGTGGCATCCACTCACACCCGCCATTGGAAAATGGTAGGCTCAAGAAAGGGCCACCGAAAGACACCCAGGGATAAGAGTATGTCACCTCCAGGGCACCGCCCTTGCGTAGCCTCAGCTCCTCTTCATAGTGGTGCACAGCCTTGCGGTGATCCTTCATGTCCCCCAGTGTGGTGGCCAGGGAGACATGGATGACAGCCAGCTCGACATCTGGTCTGTTCAGCAACTCAGCGAAGTGCAGCTGGAGAGTCAGCATGGTAAGGTTCAGACCCACACTTCACACATTGCTGGCGCTTTCCTCCCACCCCCAGGGATGACTAGGGGTGAGGGGGACACTCGCCTGCTTCTGGTAAGCCTCTGATGCCTTTGGGAAGTCACCCGCCTTGGAGAAAAGGTCCCCCAACTGTTCACAGATAGCCATGGCACGTTGAGGATCATTGCCCTCAGCCTCTTCCAGCTGCTGCTGCAGCTGGATCACTGCCAATACTGATGGGAAAAGTCTCATGTGAGAGGGCAACACGACATGGGGTCCCAACCACACAGCCAGCCACCTACCAGCTGCACTCCCTTAGGCAGGGAGCTTGGGAGAGGGTAAAGTGTCTCCATGAGAGCACTGGTATAAGGGGTAGTGGGGAACCTGACTGACCACTTGGGACTTTTGAACAGCACTTAGTGCGAAGATCTGGACACTACTGACCATCAGCGTCAGTTTCTGGGCTACAGCATGCCATTGCTGCACCCATTGGCTAATGTTGCTTTGTGATAAAGCCAGTCGGTTTCCCACACCTAGTGCCCCAGACACACTGCGCAGTAGGTTTGGGCAAAAGTCTACCCTGTATTCAAGTTAACACTTTCCCCAAAACTTAAGCTTGGGTCTTTCTTGCTGGGAGAGCAGAGTCCTTCTCTCACCCCTGGGGCTCAGTTCCAGGCCCCCATGCAGCCTCACCATGTTTGAGACTCTGACAGACAGCCACTCTCTGGACAGGCTTCTGGGAGCCCAACTTATAGGCCTTCTTCAGGGCTCGCTTGGCAGCTAGGAAGTCCCCCAGATCTTGAAGTACCTGGCAAGAGAAGAAAAGTGAGGCCCACAGACTCGCTAAGGCCCACGCCCAACAAACGAAGACACGAGAGCTACCTGGGACACTACCACACAACATTCACTTTCCATGAATCTCATCTTCATAGCGCGTGCACACTCCCGGGCCCCCTCCAGGCAGCGCATGGCCTGAGAGTGCTGCCCTCCGCGCCAGTGGATGGCACCCAGGTTGTATTGGGCCCGAAAGAGATCTTCATAGAGATGGTTCTGCCTGTGGAGAATGGGGCGGCAGGAGCTTAGAGTGCCCAGTGCCCAGTGGCCACCAGCTTTGGAACAGTGGACACTGAAACACGTGTGGCACTGCTGATACCCAGCCAGTCATGGCTATTAACACCGCCGGGGCTCCAGCCCTACCCTGCTGCGGTTTGAGGCCGAAACCTGCTTCCCTCAGCCTGCAGCACAGTCATGAATGGAAAGCGAACAGCTTAGACAGCTGTCCTCTTGGAAGGATCCCAGGGGACCACCTGCTCCCTCTTGGGGTAGGGATGGTGCCTCACTCAGCAAGAAAGATGCTCTTCTTGAAGTAGTCATGGCACAGGGCTGTTTGCTGCAGACTCTCAAAGGTGAGGCCCAGGTTGAGGTAGAGTCGAGCCCGCATCTCACTCAGCTCTCGCTGGGTCAGTGTCCCTGGAAGACAACAGCTCTAGGAACTCAGCTGCCTCCTCTGGCTATGGGGTTGTCAGGTCCGCCCAGCCTTTATCCCATGTCACATTGAGGGAACCAGCAGTCTGCCGTGGAGAGTATACATAGAAATAGCAGAGGCTGCCGGGCGGTGGTGGCGCACGCCTTTAATCCCAGCACTCAGGAGGCAGAGGCAGGTGGATCTCTGTGAGTTCGAGGCCAGCCTGGTCAACAGAAAGAGTTCCAGGACAGGCTCCAAATCTACAAAGAAACTATGCCTCAAAAAAAACAAACAAACAAAATCAGGTGTCTGACAGGATCAAGTAGGTAAGAAACAAAGTCCGTGGAAAGTAAGGGCCCAGAAAGCAGGATATGGGAAGAACCCAGGGAAAAGGCACCTACCCTCTAGTTTCTCATCCACAATAGCTAAGCTCTTCTCAAAGGCATCCTGTGCCTGAAGTAAGGCATCTCTTGCCTGGCAGTGATCATACACATCTAGATGGGTGCGGCCAATGGTGGCCCAGGCTCTCTGCAATTCAGTGTGGTTGGACAGGGAAGCAGCCAAATCCAGGTAGAGATGCTGGTGCTAGCGTGGGAAGAAAAAGCTTTTGAAATAATCCCCCTTCACATAAACCCAGAAATCTGACCCGAGGGGAAGCTACCCTTCTACAAGAGAACCTTCTGTTTCCCGAATTTTGACAGTTAGTTGTACACGTTGTCGGATCTTTTCTGTGTCAAGGACTGTCTATGATGACATCTGCTCTGCCCTGGAGCCAGTCAGCGCTGTCACACCAGACCACTAAGGGCAGCCTGGAGTGTTGCACCCAACAGCAATGGGTCCTGATTCTTCCTCTTCCCACAGAGCAAAAACCATAGTTCCTTAAAAGTTTCAGTTGTCACAAACCCATTCATGCACCAATTCCCTACCAAGAGCCAGGCAGCACCCAAAGCAGACATAACGGTGTAGCTGACAGCCATGTCAGCTATTGTGGGATGCTTATTTGCGAACCGACCCTCTCTCTACAACAAGAAGACCCATCCCAGAAGTGCAGGCCCTCTACCTTCAGGGCAGCAGAGTAATTCTCCATCTCAGCCAGCCGTTCTCCGATCTTGCGGTGGGCCACTGCGCTGCCTAGGGTGTCCTGGACACTCTCTAGCAGACGTAGCTCCTGCTGGTGCTCCTCCAAAGCTTCCATGAAGCGGCCTGCCGGAAGAGGGGAATGGAGTGCTCACGGTGCGACATCACCCAGCCATCCCCAGCCGCCAGTCCGCCTTCTTGCCGCTGCGGCTCACCGTGGCCAGCCAGCAGCTCCCCCAGCTGGTGGCAGTAGACCGCCTCCTCGCGGAGTTGCCCATTCCTCTGGGCCCTGGCCTTGGCCTTGTTTAGCTCTGCCGGGAGGAAGAGAGGATCAGGATTAACGCGGGAACCGATCCGTACCCTGTGCTCCCGACACGCACGCCCCAAAATACTCACGGCGAAGCTCCTGCTCCAGGGTCATAGTTACACAGCCACCACCGCCGGGAAAATCTGGACTTCCCGCGCTTCACTGGGACCACGCCCACTTACTTGCTCCACCCCCGACACGCAGGCCCCACCCAGTCTTCCGCGCGCATGTCTAACCCCGCCCCTTTGGAGGTAGACGTGCAGTAGCCCTTGACGGAACTGGTAGTTCGACCCCGGGCCTCCTGGGAGTCGTAGTCCGACGGACTCAAGCAAGGTGCCATCAGGTAGCGAAATTTGTGTTGGGCCTTCTAAGCTTTCTAGGCGTCAGGCACAGTGTGGGCGCCCAGGCAGTCGGTGTCCTTATTTACAGACCGCTTCTGGTGGGTTCCCAGGACTACAGCCAGTATGTGGCCGCTTGCTGGGGACACTGGGGCACTTGAGGCACTGACCGTGCTGTCCTGGAGTCTACCTGCCTATTACAGGTGTTATGTAATGCTGCCCTCACTTCCTCTAGAAATTAAAGCACACACCACCTGTTTATATTTGAAAAACTTGTTTGTATTTGTTTTTCAAGACAGGCTTTTCTCTGTAGCTTTGGAGCCTGTCCTGGAACTAGCTCTTGTAGACCAGGCTGACCTCGAATTCCCAGAGATCCGCCTGTCTCTGTCATGCTGAGATCAAAGACCTATTCGACCACACCTAGCTTGTAAGTTTTACCTTAAAAATTTTTAATTATTATTTTATGTGTACGGATATTTTGCCTGAGTATCTGTGTACCATATGTATGTATGCCGAGTACCCATGGAGGTCAAAAGAAGGCATCACCTAGAACTGGTGGTAAAGGGGATTGGAGAGATGGTTCAGTGGTTAAGAGCACTAACTGCTCTTCCAGAGAACTCAGGTTCAATTTCCAGCACTTGCATAGCAGCTCAAAAGCTATCTAAGTCCAGTTCCAGGGGATCCAACACTCTCACACAGACATACATGCAAGCAAAACACCAATGCACAGAGAGTAAAAACAAAATAAATCATTGAAAAAAAAAATCTAGCCAGTGATGGCACATACCTTTAATCCTAGCACCAGGAGACGTAGGCAGGTGGAGCTCTGAGTTCGAGGCCAGATCTACAGAGTGAGTTCCAGGACAACCAGGACTGCACAGAGAAACCCTTATTTATTATTTATTTATTTATTTGTTTGTTTAGTTTTTTTCGAGACAGGGTTTCTCTGTAGCTTTGAAGCCTGTCCTGGAACTAGCTCTTGTAGACTAACCTGGCCTCGAAATCACAGAGATGTTCCCGCCTCTGCCTCCTGAGTACTGGGTTAAGGCCTGTGCTGCCACCACCACCGCCCAGCTCAGTCAGGGTCTTTTCTTTTTCTGTTTTTGGTTTTTGAGACAGGGTTTCTCTGATTAGCCCTGGCTGGCCTTGAACTCGGAGATCTGCCTGTCTCTGACTCCCAAGTGCTGGAATTGCAGGCCTGCGTCCACCACACTAGTCAGCAGATGTTTGTTTTCTATTGTAATACAAATAGTGGGAGCACACACACCTTTAATCCCAGCGTTTGGGAGGCAGAGGCAGGTGATGTCTTTGAGTTTAAGGTCCTCCTGGTCTACACAGTGAGTTCCAGGACAGCCAGGGCTACTTAGAGAGACCCTATCTCAGAAAACAAAGCAAACAAACAAAAAAAACCCAAAAGAAAACCAACCAACCAAACCTCAAAAACATGGAGTAAAAGACAGATGGTAACACCTGTTGGGAAGAGAGCGATACTGAAGGCAGATACAAGCCTAAGAAGGGCTCCCTGACCCCGCCGACCCTATCAGCCACCTGTTGCAGGCTGGGGCTGGGCAGGTCTGGGCCTTGCTACCTGAAGGCTGCAAGGGTGTGGTGAGATCTTTCTTCCAGAGTTGTGCCTGGTGAAAAGGAAAATTGGACACAGGTAGACCTCCTGAAGGGCAGCTGTTAGACTACGTCGTGATGGATGTCAGAACAGCTACAGAGGCCAGCCCTTTTCCCATCCAAGCATGCCTCTAAAATCAAGTCTACTGCCTAGCGGGCAGGCTGGTGAGGGACACTGTGAGAGAAGGGTGGAGTGGGAAGAAGGGATAGAGTCAAGAGGCTTAAGACGTGGAGCAGTCCCCCAGGCTGTCAGGAAGACCACGAATTGCTTTCTGCCCAGTCCTAGAATTCATAAAACAGGAGCCTGTTGAGATCCAGCTGCTCTACTGTACTCTATATTGTGGGAAAGTTTTCTCAGTCTGTGCCTTGCCCTGGAAGGCTGTATTTTACAAGCATCTTTAAAAAAAAAAACAAACTATTATTATTATTTGGGGGGCACACATGCCATGGCACACAGAGACAACTTTGTGAAGTCAGTCTCCCTTTAGAGACAATCCAACTTCTCTATCCGGATGCTTCACAGGACTGGAGGCCTGGGGATGGGGTACAGGCTGATGAGCAAGGCAAGCTAGCAGAGCACAGGAATTCCCACCCTGAGGCTGTCTTCTGATAAGGAAACACAGACAAAACATGGTTTGGAATTATTTTTTTAACTACAGGTACATACAGAAAATATGCAAACCGCAGAACTGACATGTAAGTCATTTCCAACAATCATAAAAACACTTCTTGCTCTGCTCTTTAGAAAATTATTTTTATTGTTTTGTAAATGTCTCACTTTGGGCAAACTGAGGGACACAGTGCTCACAGGAAGTGGGGATGAGACAGACCGAGGAGGGAGGCCTGGCTTGGCCTATGCAACCCCCTCTGGCAGCCTCCCCAACACTTACTGAGGCTGAACCCCTCTCCCATCCTCAGAGACAACAGAAAAAGAGCCAGGTTAGGACAGCAAGATAACAAGATTCTGGACACAAGCCTGGAGATATGGTGCCCCCCACACACACCCCCAAGAGCCCATAGTGGCGATGCTGAAGGTCTGTATGCCAGTCCCTAGCAGAGCCAAGAGACATACTAGTTTTTTCCATGTCTGGTTCCTCTAGGTTGGAAGGCTCAACTGCTGCACATGACAGTCATAGTGTAGCGGCCACACCGAGCATGTCACTAGAAGGCTGCTGTAGTCCTCCTGGGGACCCTTAGACACCCACACCCCTAGGTGGATCCTAGCTGGGCATGGCCCCAGCCCTACCTGTGCCTTGGGGTATGCCTTTCATCTCCACAGATACCCAGAGTTCTGTTGTCTCTGAGACCCTGCCAGCCCAGCTTCACTCTCATGCCCAGTGTCCCTGCTGGCTTGTGCCCATGGGGGAAGAAGCCTCCTATCCTGTTTCTCCCCAGGAGACCTTCAGGCTGCCTTCTGTGAGTCAGTCTCTCACACATCTAGACACAGGTTATTAGGGCAAGCTGGCCTTGCCCTGCCTTTTCACACTAACACCTTAGAATCTAGAGGAACTTCTAGAGGGGCCTCCTCTGTTTTCCAAAAATCCTCTATGCCTGATAGGTGAGCACATTTTAGAGGCTGCCCCGAAAGGCAGAGAAAATCAAGAAGCTGTATTTATCTGCTCCCATGGATGTGCTGCAATCTGGCATGGGGTCCTTTGTAGTAGGCAGAAGCCAGCCTGGTCACGTTTGCAGAAGAGAACTCCCACAAGCCCCATGCAGGAAGCCAAACAAGGTGCTGAAAACCTCTCCACCTATGAGAAGGCAGAAGGGCCACACTGGCCCTATTCAGGAAAACAGATGGGACCTATACCCCACGTCACAGTTGCTTCTCTTCATTTCTCAGCTCTTTGCCCTCTTGAAGGTCAGGGTGAGTGGAACGTTAGTACTTGCACCCACATGGCCAAGACTACCCAGTCCCTTAGCTTGGAAGGTACAGGACAGTTCAGGCCCAGGCAGTTTGCATGGGATGGTGGGAACTACTTTGAGGCATGTGGAGGTCTGGTTAGGGAAGAGGAAACCAGTTCTTTGGTATTAAAGCAACGAAAAGCTATGATAGAAGAGCCTCATCTCCTAAGCAAAGACAGAAGGAGGCAAGTCCTACCTTTCTCAGTATCTCTGAGGAAGCCAAGGAAGAAAGGACTGGGGCCTAGCCCTATCAAGCATGGCTGCTTCATATTCTGTGAGGCCCTAATACTTGTCCTGCTTACAACCACAACTCAGAGAATCTGTGAATTCCAGCAAGGGGAAGGCCGACGTTGCCTAGGCGATAAACCATGCTGCTCTGCCTTGGTCCTGTGATGCCCCTGCCACCATTAAACGCAGGTCTCACAGACAATGGCTGCCTCCTTGGCACCCTGAGGACACCCGGTCCTCTATGCTAAGTTAAGCGAATGGGTTATTTCTCGCTAAAATCACATCACTTAAAGAGCTTGTAGAGTTTCATTTTTTCCTCGAAGAGACAGAATTTCACCCTGCATTCCGAAAACATTTGCTGAGCCCTACTAGCCAAGTCCTGCTTCCTCTGAGTGGCAGCTGGGGAAGCCCAACCCTCTGGCTCACTGGCCAGGCTTTAGTCCCAACCTCTGATAAGACTGTGGGGGAGGCAGTGTCTCTTAAGTCTCTCCTGGGGTGCACACATAGGTGCAGTATCAGGGACAGGACAGGTTCTGACCACCGGGCCAAACCAAATCTCCTATGAGGTCCATTCACAGCCACACCTTCCCCTCCAACAAAACAGAAAGTAGGAAACAAGGCTGCCTTTTTAATTGCAATCAAATATGCTGTCTGAAGTCAACCAGGGCCCCTGAGCCTGGTCAGGGAACCACCGTGCCACCTCAATGAGAGGATGGGAGCTGGGGTAAGGGTGGTTGGCCTCTTGCCCTCCTCACCACCTGTACCTGAGGAGCCCAGAGTACTGTTTCCACTGTGGTCAGCCCAGCCTCTGGCTGCCTGCAGGAGGTGGGAGGCAAAGGGTGAGCCAGAGGCGGGGACCCCATTGCACACGCATGCAGACTTTCTCAGTGTTTGCTTTTGTTTGTTCTCCTCCTTTGCTAAAATGATCAAATAGTTGTGTGAAGCTGCTGCCAAGCCAGGGAGGGGTGGGACAGCACTACTGGACCGCAGCCCTCTGCTCCTCAGGTGTCCTGCGCCCAGCCTACTTCTGTATTTGGAACAGGAAGAGCCGCAGGTTAATGTTCTTGGCAGCCAGCAGCTTGTTGCACTC